TATTTATTTATTTATTGTAGTAGATACTACTTACAAAGACTAATCGTTGACTCGTCTTCGGACTCTGATAGGCGGATTGTCGTGGCTCCCTTGGAGCAGGTAACTACAGTTTCTTGAACTGCGTTAGTGGACATACGGGTTTATGTCGTAGTTCTTATGGGACAGTAACTACTGTTCCAGTAACAGTGTTAATGGACAATCCGAAGAAGTGTAAGTTGTTCCCGAAATAGCGCTAAATGGACTTTCACAAAACTTAACTGAGTATGAAATGTCTCAAGGGTTTAATATTGAGAGAGTATTACTAAAAGAGAGATATCAAAAATACTAATAAGCAATAGACATCAAAAAACTGAGAGACACTTCGAAAAGGAGTAATATCACGAAAATACTACTAAAGAATAAACTATCAAGAGTAAATATCAAGACAGTTAAAATATCACGAATGATAAGTATTAAGAGAGTTACGTATCAAAAGTATATATGTATTGAAAATTGTGCCCCTTAAATACATTTTCTGACCATGAATTTGACTTGAACCCCTTCCCTTATTTTCTGTCCAATCAGAGACTCCTCCCTTATAGTGCGAGGGCAGCGCCTCTTTTGGCTTCGGAGTTAATTAAGGGCCTAGTCGTCTCTGAGTCTTCATGATGAGCAGATCTCTCATTGCTGCTGCCGCATTCGACAGCATGTCGGCAGCGGCAAGGGGGGGTTTGCTGACACATCTGGTGACAGCATTGCAATTTGTTGACAGCGGGAAGGGGAAGGAAGGTCCGCTTGCGGTAATGCTTGATGTAGTTGCCGAGCGGAACGAAAATGCATATGTCAAAACTATAAGTTTTCCTATGTTTATGGTATTGTTTTTCCAGATGTTTTATGACACTAATGCCTGAGAATTTTGAGCAAGCGATGTTTTGAAATCCAAATACAAATGTTACGATGTTACTTGCCAGATGTTTTATTGCACTGACACAAAAAGAAAAATGTTCTCGCATTCTCGTACAGAATAGATACAAAAATGAAAGCAGTATATGTGTGTTCTTAAAAAGTTTTACATATTGAATTAACAATTGTAGTTGTTTAAAACATACAATTTTTGAGAAATTTACTTAATCATGTCATCGAAAAATATATAAGTTCAAATTTCATTCTCCTTCAGAGAATATACTAACTATAATCATAAGTTACTTTTATATTTTAATTGATGAATAAATGTAACATTTTACAAAATAGAAAATGGGAAGATTAATTCGATTCAGCAAATTAGTACGGTTTGTATGTTTGGCATTTTGTCAGCAAGTAGATAAAAGCGGCCCTATATACTGCATAGACATTGAATGAAGTAAATAAGAAAGGGCATGCGAACTATCACTAATTTGTTGACATATTAAGGGGAAATATTTATTCAAATAGAGTAAATAATTAATTTTAATTTAATACATACATAGTAGTGTCTGGAAAAAATATTTAAATGTATTTGCGATTTCCAAACCCGATGGAATAGGTTGATTTCCATGTAAAAGACGTTGATAATATTCATGGAGCAGAGTCAATTTTAGTGTATCTGTAAATACATTTATATTATAAATTATTATAAAATAATTACAATATATAATTAATTTATTTTATATACCAAAATATGTTATTATTATTATTAAATAAAATTAATTTGGAGTATAATATATTTAATCACATGCTTGATTTTTGATAATATGTTTGCTTTTATATCTTATATACAGACTATAAAAATAACGAATACATATATATTATATTTGAAATCCATCAATTTCTATTGTAATAAAAAATGTCTTTTTATAATAATTCTGAAAATAAATAAATATTTAGCACCTTTTGATAAATTATTTTTGAATAACGATTTCAATGAATTTTGAATAACAATGAAGCAAGTGATATATTTTTATTTTAATCAATAAGAACATATATATTTCAGTAATATCACAAGATATAAAATATCTTTATATGTATGTAATGCATGTTGTCCCCCACCCCTTCCCGCTGTCTACAAGTTATCATGCTGTCGCCAGATTCGTCAGCGGCAACGAGAGCTCTTCTTGCCGTGAAGACCAAGAGACGACTACGCCCTTAATTAACGATAAAGCCAAAAATGCCGCTGCCCTCGCTCTGTAAGGGAGGAGTCTCTGATAGGACGAAAAATATGTATTTAAGGGGCGCATTTTGCAATATTCAAACACTCTCGATAGAGTACTTATTCAAATAAGAAGTGGAAGTTTCCTATTAACATAGTTTAAGACTATAGTTACAAGTCCTATTGGCGGGAGATGTATTCCCTTATCGAAGTCCGAAGACAAGTGTCCAATGACAGCCCTTTTGAAGAAGGAACATGGAGGTTCCAATATTAAGTATACCACTAGTCTTCGTAAGTAGTATCATTACTACAATACTCACCAAACTCTAAGATTCAGAGATTACGTCATTGACAAGTAACTAAGGATGAAGTGGCTCTCCCCAGAGAAACAGTGCGGAATAAATTCCAAACGCGTCACCAAGTTCGTGCCAGCTGATGCGCGTCTTGTTGGCAAACCCTCACCTTAATTCTAAGTCTGACGCTTATGAAAATTCGCAGCGCATCATTCACCGCTCAGCCGCAACACTTAGCAGTATCCTTCACGAGGTAACAAGCCTTCAAACTTTTACTTCCGTCTGAATTTATTGCAGTGCGCAAATATCAGAACAAGGTACGCTTGCTACGATACGAGTATATATATCAAGTAACAACACCTACATGTGTTGCGCTCTATTACAACCATAACCTCAACTGCACACGTGCTCATCCAAACAACGCGAGTGTCGACGAATCAAACTTCGCGCCATTCTAAGGTCAAATTCAACGATCACGCTGCATCCATAACCTCAACTACACACATGCTCATTCAAACAGCACGAGTGTCGACGAACCAAACTTCGCGCCATTCTACACTCATATTCAAACCATCAAGCTGCATAGATGAGTATACGTTTGCCACCGCAAACACATCAATCCAACCAAGGAGTTATTTCAATAATTAATAATAGTAATACTAGTCAACCTTGTCATCAATAAATAAGAGAATAAACAGCATATACATCAACCATAGTTATATTGTATTATTATAATATCCCTTCCACTTGTAACCTTTCATCGCTACCACACACCACGGGTGGTCTCTGAGTTGTCAACGACATCAATTTGTATCCTTTGAACCAGCCTTGGTAAAACAAACCGAAACGGCGAATACAAAGGCTTATAAAATTTCCAAGAACTGAAGGTCTTAGAAAAATGTTCTAATTCCGAATAACATGAGTAATATTAATTGCAAAATTATTCTCACTAATTAGTTGTGATACGATTAAGTCGTTCGTCTGCATTTCCTTAGAATTTTAATTGTAAGCATTTATTTTGATTTGACTATAGAACCATGGACCCTTGAATTGCAATATGTATTGATTTTTTAATCAGAATTTCTCTAATTTATGAAAGTTTACATTGTTTTTAAACTTATAGAATATATTTCTTAGTCCTTATTTTACTATAATAAATTTCAAGGGTATATTTTATATTATTTAGTTATTTTAATATTATTTCATGTTTTGTTAAATTTAAATAACCTAGAGCTACATACATTAAAAAGCAAAAACTTTTTTATAAAAATGCACATATTTTTTAATTTAACTACTATAAATAAAAGATTTATTTGGACCTATGCATTTCTAGGATTTCGTAAAAAATGATTACCGTATATAGTGATTAAAAAATATAAATAATAAATAAGAATAAAGTTAATTATTAATAAAAGTCCTACACAATTATAAAATTTAATCTGAAACAAAAAATAGTTTTGATTAATGAAAATGTATGAAAATTTACAATACCTCTTACAAAGCTGATTTAAATAAAAAGAAGTATGTGTAGAATTAAAATTTTTTATCATATAAGGAATTAATAAAGGTTAATTAGCTTTATACTTTTATTAATTTTGAACACAAAATATTTAATATATATATAGAAAAATTATATTAATGTGATTATAATATCAACTATCTTTGAGTTTTTAATATGTAGAAGAATAAAAATAGAAAAAATTATAAGTACCGATTTTGCTAAAATTAAAAACCAAATAATTCATTCAGCTAAATTTTATAAATTATTAATATAAATAACATTAGTCCAAAAATAATACATTTCTGTTTTTAGATGTGAAATAATTGTATCTTATTTGTATCTATTTTCATGGATGCTATAACAAATATAATTATAGTTAAAATAAAATATGTGGTATAAATAATTTCAATTAGATTTAAGATTTAACACTCAATTTATTACTAAAAAAATTAATTTTGAAAAAATGAATAAAGATAAGGAGATTAAAATGTATATGTATACGTTCAAGAAAAAGTAATGGTGAACAAAAAAATAATAAATATCAATAAACGTAAAATGTGAAATATTGATTCTCTTTGTTTTTACATATCAGTTAATTCTTAAATTGCCAAGAAGAATTAAATTAATTTAAATAATTTGTCATTTAAATAATATTAAATAAATATAAGTTCAAAAACTATATTATTAAAAACTACAATGTAATGTAAGACATTATCAGATATATCTCATAATTTGTCTATATCATTTTTAACATTTAGAATTTTACATAAGAATATAGTACTTTAAAAATTTAATTGCAAAAAAAGTATTATCTCAAATATCTTTTCTGTATATAGAATCAATATAATATTATTTTGTATAGGAAGATGTAGTATATCAAATCTATTAAAATATTATATATAGTAATTGAATAAAATATATCAATATAAATACATTAAAATAAATCAACATTAATGTTTTCATATATCAGCATCAAATAGTAATTAAGTTTATAATTACTTTATAAATATTATTTATATAATTTCATCGTTAGTTTTTTATAATAAAATTAAAATTATTTGAATTGAATAGAAAAAAAAAGAATACAATGATTTTTCAGAAATGTATATAATTTGTATCAACTTTCTAATGAACTTACAAGAAGCAAACTTGGTTCCCATATTTAAAATAATATTCTTTAAATATATATTTTTTCTTTTTCAGTATATATAATCACTTTTAAAATACTCAATATTTTCGCAAATATATAAAAAAATTTTCTAGTTTATATAATAAAACATTATACTTATGTGAATATAATAATGTAGAATTCAAAAGTTGCAACTATTTTGTGAGTCATAATTTTAAAGTTTTTATTCACAAATCTTTACTTTATTTTTTTAAATATACATTATAAACTTGCATGAATGGGCATCTCGTAATATCGATTTGTCTGTTGCTCACACTTACCGCGCATCTATATTTATAAATATTTTTAAAAAATCGAATATGAAATCAGTCATTTATTAATTGAATTTAAGCACAGAGAAATTAATTTTCATTTTACTATAAATATAGTAAATTGTTTCATGAAAAAAACAGTATTCGATTTAATAATTCAACTTTTAGCTATTGAATATTTTTTTGTATACCATATTTTCTTTATATTTAATAAAAAAACATTTTACAATTACATATAGTGAATGTAAAATTTAAATTGTTAATATGATAATAATATTTATACAATTTCTCATAAATAGATTGTTTATTACGATAAGTAGAAAATTAGGTTTTTATAATGAGATCAAATTTTGACACATTACTAAACAATTGATTATTTGTTTACATATAAAGTAAAATATTTATAAGAGTAAGAGTCCAATTTTTATATTCATGAAAAATTAATTGGGTTATTATTTATAATAACCAATTTTAAGGTGTAAAATTTATTTTAAAAAGGTTAGATATATGTCCTTTTATTATAGCTATTCCATTTTAATTATAAAATATACGTTAGGTTTATTTTGAAATATGTTTATAAAATAAAGTAACTTAATCCGTGAATCTTTTAAAATTTATGAAGTAGTATTTTATTTAACTTACACAATTTATTATTAAATGAATTTATTTAAAATATTTCCTATATTTCATTTCTTGTAAAATAAATATTATATTTTTATTATGATTGCGATTTATAAAATATTTGAAATTTAATTTTGAACAATTATAAAAATAATCGATATAACCCATCTGATGAATGTCATCAATAGACTATTTTTATGAAAACATTGTTATCGTTAAATAGAAAAAAATTAATATACACTGTTGAAATTATCATAAATTCATTAAATTTGAAATTTCATATAAGCTAAAAATTTAGCAATGATAATATTCAATTTTATATTTTAAATATATCTACAATATTAAATTTATCTACAATTAAAATAAGAAAAAATCATTTTAAATGTGAAAACCGAAAATGTGTTTAAAAAGTTATTTCGTTACTTATTCGTAATATTGTTTAGAATTAGATTATGGCCACCAGTTACCTAGTGGGAGAAACTGTTGGCAAGTGGAACGGGTAGTGCTTCAACTCAATATTTAACATGTCTGCTTTCCGTGCTTGGTATTTCGTTTATTTTATAACTATAATATAATGATACTACGTTAATGGTGAGAATCGCTAAGATCTTGCCATTTTTTGGTTGTTGCTACGTGGTATCAACATGCACCATTTGTAGAGGTCATAAATCTCCGGATCCTCTTAATGCAATACGCTTAGTGGTGAAGTACTACACTGATAAGGAAAAGGTCATAAATTTCTTGACACTTGTAGTGTCACGTGGTGGTAACTTGATTTTTTGTCTCATCCAAGCTGTTTTGTGGTGTGGACAGGTGAGAAAGGCCTGTAACAGCTGTGCTCGAAAGTTAAGTTTCTGGGTCGAACTGACAAATTCTATAGTTCAGTTTATTAGTCTCTCGCCGTAACGATGCTTAGGAAACGACACATGTGGAAGAGCTGTAAATATGTACAGTGTGTAACTTTATTGACAATTACATTATTTAGTTCTATGTTCACTTCTTGTAGGAGAGAGATAATTATTTTATTACAATGATGTGGTAGCTCGTTGGTAATGGTGGCAATGTCGTTAATGATGTTATAAGGATCAGTAATGGATTTTGTATATTCCCTGAAAGGGAATGGGTTCTACGCTGACGTTGTCAGGATCAGCAAGAACAGTCGACCATGCTCATCAGATGAGCATCGGAAGGTGGTAATGGTAGTTAGCAGTGCTTAGCAGGGAAAATTTACCATACTTATAAAGGGGAGTATGGGAGTATTAGTGTGCTAGTTATTCGCAAGAAAGATATACAATACTTTCGAGAGCAGGACTTGATATCATGATTTTTATAGTCGACTATTTTTAGAACGGCATTCTGCTCTTGACGGATTGTTACCTTTAGTGCACTGGAGAAGTGAACGAGCGTTATCAGCGAACGAACGTCGAATGAGCGTGCTAGTTGAACTTTGCCTGGCGAAGACTCCGTGCGAAGCGTGGCTTGGGCGTAGATGACTGGTTTGCACGACTAACTAAAAAGTGGCACTTTAAACTACCCACACTGTGTACTGAGTGACTGCTGATGATAACTAAGTGGAGGCTTGTCGCACGTTGTCTTAAGTATCGGCCCGGTAACTTGCACTAACGAGAATATAAGCTTTCAGTTAGTCGGAAATTCGACGTGAGAAAAAATTACTTTCCGTGTTCGAGGCTAAGTAGCCTTGTAGAGCGATCGAGAATTCTATGATTTTGGCTAGTCGGAAATTCGGCGTGAGAAAATGTAATTTTTCAAGACTAAACAGCCTTGGGAAACGATCGAGAATTCTGCTTTTGGATAATTTGTAAATCAATGTAAATTTTCCGAGAACCAATGACCTCGAATAAAATGCTCCAATTTTGAACAAATACTGAATTGAAGTATTAACCCCTCCACTTAACCACACTTTTCCCACCAGTAAATTAGTGGACATGGTCTAATCGAACGATCTTGGTCATTGGGCTACCGGATGACTGGAATTCCGAACAATATATGTAATTTTAATAATTTATTACTATAACGTGAAACATAAAAAACCTATTATCTATAAATAATATGATGAAATTGATTTGAGTAGAACTTTTACAAAATTCTTGTTGATATTGTTCTATAAAAAAAATAATTTAAAGGTTATTCAAATCAAAAATATATCTGTCGATATTTTCACACCTTGAGAATATACGATTTAAAAGATGAATTTATGAAAAAAAACATTAACTTTACTATATATTTAAGCTTAAAATCAATAATAAACTCATAATATATTAAATGCTTTAAATCTACCATCAAGAAAATAAATATATCAAAGTACTGAATTATAAACACGAAAACCCTTTACTATAAAATTCAATTAAAATGAATTGCAGCATTCAATTAATATACTGTAGTTTAATTTTAGTGCAATTGATACTTTAATAAATGTTATAACATATTAAGCTTTAACTATTATAAATTTGATAACATTTGTCATTTAAAATGTATTCTAAAACAATTGTATTAAGTCTTTATTAATACATATAGAATATAAAACGGTAAAAATCAATAGATTTTTATGTAAATAGATTTAATTCAAATTGTAGAAATCAATCCATTATATTTGTAACAAAAATCATCCTGAAAAAAATCTATATTTAGCAGATCGAATAACTAGTTTCAATATACTTTGAATATAAAATTAATAATTCTAAAACTCATGGGTATAAAATAGCGAGAAATTATGTATCTATTTACCTTCAGATTCGAATATTAAAATTATAAAAATATATTAAAAAATGTTCTTATAAAATAAATTTCAAATAAAAAGTGTAGAAATATTTGTTAATAAGAAAGATCTATATATTTGAATATCATTTATTGTTCTTTGATAAATATTGAAATTTAACGATTTGATTTAGCAACTCGCTCGAGTTCATCTTTTTTTTTAATAGCGTAAGAATTTGATGATCCTTTAGCAGCATTAATCAATTCATCTGCTAAACATTCGGCAATAGTTTTAATATTACGGAATGCTGCTTCTCTAGCTCCAGTACAAAGCAACCAGATTGCTTGATTAACTCTTCGGAGAGGTGAAACATCAACTGCTTGTCGTCGAACAGTACCAGCGCGTCCGATTCTTGTAGAATCTTCCCGTGGTCCTGAATTTATAATGGCTGTAACTAACACCTAGAAAATTTAATATTTAATATAAATTTTTTTTAATATTGATTGTATATATTAAAAGGTTAACATCTCAAATGACTAAACTATACATTTTTGAGTCGGAAGGCATTTTAAGTCTTTGCTATACAATAAATATTGGGGTAATGTCAGAATAAAATCATACTACTACTTTTTCAATAATAATAGGTAAATTAACTATAAGGATATAATAATTTCGTCTAAATAAATTTTATAGTAATAAATAAAAAAAATATTAGGGATTTTAAAAAATGTATTATTGTCTATATGTATCAAATTTTATCTATATTATATAAAATAATAAAAATATTATTTTTATTATATTTTTTTCATAATTACATTATTTAAAACTGATTATGGATTATTTTTCTAAAATCAATATGCAAATTCATCAACACTTTAATTAAATAAACAAAATATTTATAAATATTTAATTTTAAATATAATAAATTTATTTAGCTAAACTTGCATATTGTTCAGGATTGAAGCAGTTTAAGCAGAATTTTAAATTGCGAAAAGTACAAGCTCCCGGACGCTCATGTTTGTAAACACGACTCAGCGAATTCGAGAATTTTCCTGTGCCTTAAATTTGAATATTCGACAATATTTCCGCATAGCAACGCCGATGAAGCTTCTAGAACCTTCCAGAGCTTCGTTTTCTGACGTCATGACGATTTTCGGCATAGCAACAGGCATCGGCGCTGTTGCCGGCGTCGCAAGCTACCCGCACCATCGCTCATTCATCTGTTATTATTAATTAGTGCATTTTCACATACATATTGTATTAGTAATCACTTGTGACCACACGAAACGTAGTCGCATATCAGACAATCGGTTTATAAAACATACGTGCGTTATTATAAGAATCTCCTACAACTGGTTAGCAATTTAACAGTGAAGCCATTGGAATTTTAATCAATAAGGTGCGCCAGCCATATAGTCATTCGGCAGTTCACAAGGTACATCCTTTTATTATTTGCACAAGCTAGTCATCCACGCTCGAATCACACCACGTATAAAACCTGCACAGGTGACGCAATACTATCTCTCAGACCGATCAGGCCGGAGATCGTACGTTCGCTCCATCAGTCGAGACAGGTGACTCAATACGCTCTCTCAAGCCGATCAGGCTAGAAACCGTACGTTCACCCCCCTCCCCATGTAATTCCATTGTCAAGATCAGACTATAGTTTCTCAAATAGTCGACTATATCTATTATTAAGTCCTTCCGTCCTCGAATGAACTTTTTATAATTTAATCTTCTGGCGTGTGACTAACTCTAATATTCCCATTCTCCCTTTGGAGTATGGTCGATTTACATAACCACTACTAAAGAGACTACAGAATTTTCTCTCTTTAAGTATGCTTACTCTCCCTACGAAGCATCATTGATTACTATTACTATTACCATTGCCATCACAATCCTGCTCATTGATGAGCATAGTCGATTTCTCATGCTGATCATTACAACATCAGCATAAACTCAATACTCAACATCTACAGTAATTTCCAAAGCATCAACAACAACCAAGGACACAAGGAAGCACCCTCACCACTGCAATAGAATACTTCTCTCTCTCTTACTTGAAGCAACCAACAAACTGCAATATTATAATAATTCATAAACCAGAATAAAATAATATCTTTGATCAAAATATATTACATATTTTCAGCCCTTTCACTTGTGACTTTCCTCCTAATCGCTATGGCGTGAGATTAATCCTCTAAACTATTGAATTGGCAATTCGAGCCACAAAGCAAACACTCAATTTTGAACACATAAATTATAAAATAATTATCATATTTCTGTATAGTAACATATTAAAAATAATATATAAATTTATAAAGTTAAGTTTATGTTAACACACAAGTAAAAGCAGTATAATGTATGTAAATCATTACGTTTACAAAATCTGTTGTAACTTGAAATTTTATCTACTGAACTTGCAAGGAGCTTTGTCAGTGACTCCTACATCTACTTGATCTCAAATTTTCAAGTTCTATTAGTCGTTTATTGCAAATATATTTTTTATTACTCTTGAGAAAAACTCATTTAAAAATCCATGGTCGCATATTATTAAACAAATAGTTTTTAGAACATTGTTTAAAAGTTTATATTAATTTATACATCGTCAGGATCTACTAAATTGAAGTCATAAAATTACAATAAAAAATATCTGTCAAGCATGAAAAGGATACTTTTAACGTAATATATTTATTGCCAATTTATATTAAAAATAAATAATGGTAATATTATTAAATAATAATTATTATTATACAACAATAACAAAATATATATCTCATAAAAACAAAAACTTACATTTTTATTATTAAAATATTGAATGAATTATAGTCACAATATATTGCTATTAGAAATGTAAATATAAAAGAGAATAAAATTATAATATATAAGCTCAAATTATTTACAGGTTTTTATCAACCCTCAAAAACAAATACAATATTTTATACTTTTAAACATTGTGTGAAAGAATATTTAAAGTGTATCTGACACTGAAGTAACTTTTTATTTACATTATAACCATAATAAAGCATAAAAGATAGTTCATCATTTCTACCTTTGCTGAGGCCACTCTTTTCTTTCATAACTGAAAATATTGTCATTACCATTAAAATCTTTCCTTTAACGACACAATTGAAAACAATTTTTTATATGAAAATTACTACCTAATAATATAACAGATATGAAAGTTAAATTAAATAAATGAATTGTCAAAAAACAAAATTACATATTTGATAACAAATACTTATAAGATATAATATAATTTATGAGATATAATAATAAATATTTAAAAAGCACTTTAGTGTTTAACAATAAAATTAAAAATGTTAAAGTAAATATAAAATATAAGGTAAATCATATTATATATTGATATTTTATTTCAATATTTTACTTCGATAAATATTAACACAAGAGATATTTGAATTAAAAATACAGTCAATCAATTTTCTGTTATATACAAGTTTATAGCAAATACATAATAAAAATAAGAATGAATCAAAACATTCTCTAACATCAACTTACATATGCAATTATGAAAATTATATTTATTAAATGTAGAACATATTTCTTATGCTTTTTCATTGATGTGTTTAAATGTATAGAGACGCTTCTTTAAAATATCTGATGAAATAAGTACTGAATATTTTATTTTCACACAAATTCAAATTTATATATAAAAATCATAAATATATTTATTTTAATATATATATATATATATATATATATATATATATATATAAATATAAATCTATAGTATAACTGAGTTAAAAATAAACATATACATACATATAATACTTTATAATACTTTTATTATTATACTTTTATTTATTATAATACTTTATAATTATTTTATAATACTTCAAAATAAATTTGTTTAAAAAAAAGTTTTAAGCTATATAAAATCTATTTCAATTTTCTATTTCCACAGTAAATTTCCTTAAATAACACCAATGATTGTTAAATTATAAAGAGTATAAGTATCTTCTTAAATTTAAATTATATAATAAAAGAAAAATTTAATAATTTTTCTACATAACAGACTAGTGTTACCATGTAATCAAATACTGAACTAACATATTAACAAAATTTTTACTAAGCTTATATAACATACCTGTAATGGATTTTCTCCAGTTAAAAGATGGATAATTTCAAAAGCATGTTTAACAATGCGTACAGCCATCAATTTTTTGCCATTATTTCTACCATGCATCATAAGAGAATTAGTTAAACGTTCTACAATGGGACACTGAGCTTTACGAAATCGTTTTGCTGCATAGCGACCTGCTGAATGAGGAAGATATTTTGCATTTTTTTCCTTAACTGCTATATAATCTTGTAAAGACATATCATTAATATTAACATCATCACAATTCCATCGTCCAAAAAGTTTAATTTCTGGTAACTCAGTTGATAAAGTTACGGCTAAAGTATCTCCAGTTTGAACAATATCTTCATACTTGTCAACATCAACCATGATTTATCTAAAAAATAAGTTATGTTCATATATAAAATTTACAAGGTAAAAATGTGAAATATTTAATTTGTAAATTTAATAAATACAAGAAATTATTTGATAAAAAAACTAAATATACATTTGTGTAAAATACTTTTCTAAGTATAAATATTTATTACTATGGAAATAATAGATATTATTATTGAAAATGATTCATAAAAAAAAATATATTCCAATGAAGATAATTTTATTTCAGAATTCTTATTAGAATATATAATTAAACCGATTCTAATTAATGTTCCGCTATCTGCTTATGCAAATATTTTTCCTTTAATTTTCCTTTAATATACACCAATGCATATTAAAGTGATTAATTTTATTAATATCAATAAAATTAAAAATAATTGGAGTTAAATATTACCTATAAAAAAATTTTAATATATAGATTCAAATAATTTTATTATAACTTTTCTTAATATTTTACTCTGAATAAAAAAAAACAATATTTTTATTCATAAAATTCTAACTTCCAAACAAATTGATAACAGTAACACAAATGATTAATAGATTAAAAAAACTATAAATGTAATTATTTTTTATTAATATTATAAAAAATTATATCATAAGTGTAAACTTCATTATTTTTATAATATAATTTGAATTCACCTTTAAATAATAGTATTACAGAATTCTATTTCATTACTTTATTTTTAATTGATTGAAAATAAATTCAAGATAAATTCAAATTTAAATCATTATTACCTGTTTCTTAATATTAGAGGTATGCTATCAATTACTGATATTATATTAACAAATTATCAAATTTCTTAATTTTTAAATTTATTTTTAGCGATATGTAAACATATATTTTGTTTCTTTACAAATTTATTGAAATTTCATTAATTATTTATAATTTAATAATTATTTTGATAAAATTTAAAAAATAACAAAAATAGATTGTTATAAACCAAAATAAAAAACACTAGTAGTAAATAACAGTTATTTCAAAAACTATTATTTCAAGATAAATATATATATCATTTAGAAAAATCAAATGAAGGAAAAGAAATGAAAGAAAATTCAAACACACTTGAGCTGACTAATACAATAACCTTAAATCTGTAACTACAATTATACATAAGACCATTAAACGGTCCAACTTGAATAAAAACTTTCTTATAAATATTCTTGTAATTATACTTGAATAGCACCATATAATTGAAATTCTCATTTGTTGAAAGCAATTTCAATGTTTAATCAATAAATCTTTATACTACTTAATATTATTTAATTCATTGAATTTTGTTAAGTAAATCTCAAGTATTTACTTGTAATAATAATGAAATAATAAATATATATATATATATATATATAGATTTAAGATAAATAAATAAAATTAAATTAGTAAACATAAAACTATATAAAAAAAAATTTTTATACTTGTTGAATACTGTAAATAAATCATAATTTTTTTTATTTTCAAATTAATTTAAACTGTATTTATAATTAGATAATTTTTTATTTTAACAATCACTACTTGATTATCAAATATTAATCTTTAATACATATAATTGTATGTAACTTCTTATATAATTTAAAATTACTTATTGGAAAATAAGAGATTTCATTGAAATTTATAGCATAAATGATTTTAATTATAAATGAAATTTAATATTACAGTTTTATTATTTTCAAGATAAAATCTTGACAATTATTTCTATTTGATATTAAATAAATACAAGTAGCATTAGATTTAAATTAATTTTTAATTAAAAAATGAGGTTTAATATAATTTTAGTTTTAATTTAATTTAAAATTTTTAATTCTATAAGGTATAATTATTCATATTTTTCTACTTATATATGAAAACTTTTCTTAAATAATTAATATTAAATTTTTATTTAATTATAATTTAATTTATATAAGCCTATTAATATGCTGAATATTATAGTATATAATTAGTGTTTATATATGTATACATTAAAACAAATTGTATTTTTAAACTGTGATTCTACTTCATAAATATATGAAAGGCAAATTTGAATTAAAATTGGAATAAAACATAAAACTTTTATATCAAAATCAATGAGTTTAATTATGAAACTAATATTTTAATATTTTAATAATTCAATAATTAAATTAATACATATATATGTATATATATAATATAGTTACTTTTTTGTATTTACAATAAAATTAACTAACACAAATAATTAAATTATTAAATTACTCTAAAGTACTGAATTTTTTATTTGAATATTATACATATAAGGTGTAATTTTATATTATAAAATCAATTTGGGTTTTTAAATAAAGAATACTTTTATTTCTTAAATCATAATAACGAATATTATTCATAATGAATAAGAGAATTAAAAACTATATAAATAGTAAAAAAAAACTTTCGATAAGCATGAATAATGTTTATATTCCTCATGGAAAAACATACTTGAATATATTATTACATATAGAATACTTAAGTTTCATAAACACAAATCTATATTTTTTTTTATTATTCATAATTTTATTGAAATTACGTGTTTTTTCAATAAGTGAACAAATAAATAAAAATAACGAACATATTTTACCTTAAATAACACACGTGTTCATAAGACGAATGAAAAACGAAAAGAATGTAATAAAAGTATGTTCACGTAGCTTTGACCTGTTAGGTTAATTCGTTAGGTATTTGTCACATTTTCAAAAATGAATATAAGATTCTCGAACATTTGTTGTTTATATGAAATGCGCAAATAAATACATGTCTATTCGCCTTTATTGATATGCGCATAGCCAAAGGATCAATATGAAAAACTTCGTAATTTTGATTAAATATAGAATATAAAATCCTATAATTAAAATTAATTACAAAATAAAATATGCTTTATATAAATGTTTAAAAGTATATGTAAATAAATTAATAGAAAAAAAATTTTTCATTTTTGAATCATGAAATCCAATCTAAAAATTAAAGCAATTAACATTTTAAGTTGACTATTAACCATAAATAAAATTTATAATTTTTAAGCTATAGAACTTTACATAGAAATTACGCATAACTCAAAAATATTCAAAGTTGATTTACGTTTTGCAGACAAATTTATTTTCTTAAAAAAAAATATTGATTAGCATTTATTAGAATTCAGTTTAATTTCATTTTTCGATCAAAGCAAAAATTTTATGTATGTTTTGTTAGAAAAATAATAGATCTGTATAAGCCTAAAAAATATTATTCAATTGAAAATTTTCAAATTGTTTCGTAGATATAATTTTAATGATGAATTAATTGTCTATTAACACCTAAAATATCTTTCATCTTTCCCTTTAATTATTTAATTATATACATATATACATAAATAATAAATAATTATTTAATTAATTATTGAACACAAAGTATCTATTTATATATATATATATATATATATATATATATTTATATATTATTTTTTGTTTAATAAAAATGAAATTTGAACTTATATTCAAATATAATATATATGTATTCGTTATTTTTATTTCGTTATTATAAGATATAAAAGCAAACATATTATCAAAAATCAAGCATGTGATTAAATATATTATACTCCAAATTAATTTTATTTAATAATAATAATAACATATTTTGGTATATAAAATAAATTAATTATATATTGTAATTATTTTATAATAATTTATAATATAAATGTATTTACAGATACACTAAAATTGACTCTGCTCCATGAATATTATCAACGTCTTTTACATGGAAATCAACCTATTCCATCGGGTTTGGAAATCGCAAATACATTTAAATATTTTTTCCAGACACTACTATGTATGTATTAAATTAAAATTAATTATTTACTCTATTTGAATAAATATTTCCCCTTAATATGTCAACAAATTAGTGATAGTTCGCATGCCCTTTCTTATTTACTTCATTCAATGTCTATGCAGTATATAGGGCCGCTTTTATCTACTTGCTGACAAAATGCCAAACATACAAACCGTACTAATTTGCTGAATCGAATTAATCTTCCCATTTTCTATTTTGTAAAATGTTACATTTATTCATCAATTAAAATATAAAAGTAACTTATGATTATAGTTAGTATATTCTCTGAAGGAGAATGAAATTTGAACTTATATATTTTTCGATGACATGATTAAGTAAATTTCTCAAAAATTGTATGTTTTAAACAACTACAATTGTTAATTCAATATGTAAAACTTTTTAAGAACACACATATACTGCTTTCATTTTTGTATCTATTCTGTACGAGAATGCGAGAACATTTTTCTTTTTGTGTCAGTGCAATAAAACATCTGGCAAGTAACATCGTAACATTTGTATTTGGATTTCAAAACATCGCTTGCTCAAAATTCTCAGGCATTAGTGTCATAAAACATCTGGAAAAACAATACCATAAACATAGGAAAACTTATAGTTTTGACATATGCATTTTCGTTCCGCTCGGCAACTACATCAAGCATTACCGCAAGCGGACCTTCCTTCCCCTTCCCGCTGTCAACAAATTGCAATGCTGTCACCAGATGTGTCAGCAAACCCCCCCTTGCCGCTGCCGACATGCTGTCGAATGCGGCAGCAGCAATGAGAGATCTGCTCATCATGAAGACTCAGAGACGACTAGGCCCTTAATTAACTCCGAAGCCAAAAGAGGCGCTGCCCTCGCACTATAAGGGAGGAGTCTCTGATTGGACAGAAAATAAGGGAAGGGGTTCAAGTCAAATTCATGGTCAGAAAATGTATTTAAGGGGCACAATTTTCAATACATATATACTTTTGATACGTAACTCTCTTAATACTTATCATTCGTGATATTTTAACTGTCTTGATATTTACTCTTGATAGTTTATTCTTTAGTAGTATTTTCGTGATATTACTCCTTTTCGAAGTGTCTCTCAGTTTTTTGATGTCTATTGCTTATTAGTATTTTTGATATCTCTCTTTTAGTAATACTCTCTCAATATTAAACCCTTGAGACATTTCATACTCAGTTAAGTTTTGTGAAAGTCCATTTAGCGCTATTTCGGGAACAACTTACACTTCTTCGGATTGTCCATTAACACTGTTACTGGAACAGTAGTTACTGTCCCATAAGAACTACGACATAAACCCGTATGTCCACTAACGCAGTTCAAGAAACTGTAGTTACCTGCTCCAAGGGAGCCACGACAATCCGCCTATCAGAGTCCGAAGACGAGTCAACGATTAGTCTTTGTAAGTAGTATCTACTACAATAAATAAATAAATA